CATGAAAGAAAAAATTGGTGAATTGGACTTTATTGAAATTTAGAACTTTTGCTCTGCAAAACACACTGTTAAGAAAATGAAAAAACAGGCCATAGACTGGGAAAAAATATCTGCAAAACTCATATCTGATAAAGAACTTGTATCTAAAATATACAGAGGACTCAAAAAAATAAGATAAAATATACAGAAGACTCTTAAAACTCAACAATAGGAAAACAAAAAACCCAACAGAAAAATGGACAAATGATCTAAACAAATATCTTTCAAAAGAAGACACACAGATGACCAAAAAAAACAAATGGAAAGATCCTCAACATCATGTCATTAGGGAATTGCAAATTAAAACAACAGATGAGATTATCACTACATACCTATTAGAATAGTTAAAATATAAAAAATTAACAATACCAAATGTTGACAAGGATACAGAACAACAGGAACTCTCCTTCATCGCTGGTAGTAATGCAAAATGATATAGTCACTCTGGAAGAACAGGCAGCTTCTTACACGTTAAACACAGTCTTGGGGCGCCTGGGTGGCTCAGTTGTTAAGCATCTGCCTTCAGCTCAGGTCATGATCCCAGGTCCTGGGATGGAGTCCCACTCAGTGGGAAGCCTGCTTGTCCCTCTCCCACTCCCCCTGCTTGTGTTCTTGCTCTCCTAACTCTCTCTCTGTCAAATAAATAAATAGAATCTTTAAAGAAAAAAATAAACACAGTCTTAACATATGATCCAGCAATCACACTCCTAGGTATTTATCCAATTAAGATGAAAAATAATGTCTACACAAAATCTACACCTGAATGTTTATGGCAGCTTTATTCATAATTGCCAAAAACTGGAAGCAATCAAGATGTTTCTCTGTAGGTGAATGCATAAACAAACTAGGTACATCCATATGATGGAACGTTACTCAGTGATAAAAAGAAATGAGCTATCAAGCCACCAAAAAAAGAGACACAGAAGAATCTTCTTTTTTTGTTGTTTAAGGTTTATTTATTTATTTTGAGAAAGAGAGAGAGAGAGAGAGAGCATGGGAGTGGAGGGTAGGGGCAGAGGGAGAGGGAGAGAGAGAATCTCAAGCAGAATCCTAGCTGAATGTGGAGGCTGACGCAGGGCTCAATCTCAGGACCCTGAGATCATGACCTGAGCCGAAATGTCAGACACTTAACCAACTGAGCTACCCAGTTACCCCAGAGACACAAAGGAACCTTAAATGTACATTACTAAGTGAAGGAAGCCAGTCTGAAAAGGCTACATATTGGATGATTTCAATTCCAATTATATCACATTCTAGAAAAGGCAAAAACTATGGAGATAGCAAAAAGATTAGTGGTGCAAAGGGTCCAGGGGGAGGGGTGAATAGGTGAAGCAACAGCAGTAAAATTATTCTGTGATACTGTAATGGTAGATGTATGATATCATACACATGTCAAACTCACAGAACTGTAAACACAAAGAGTGAAACCTTAAGAAATGCAAAATTAAAAAAAAAAAAAAAACCATTTAGGAGTTCAAGGAATCCCAAGAAAGAAAGAAGGTAGACTGTAACAAGCAAATCTAAGTGTACTACAAACATATGAAGCAACCTCACTGCAATGGACAGAGGAAGGGTGCTGACCTAAGAAATTTTTGAAATAAATGGAGTCTATAAGAACAAAGGCAAAATGAGGGACGCCTGAGTGGCTCAGTCCGGTAAGCGTCTGCCTTCAGCTCAGGTCATGATTCCAGGGTCCTGGGATCGAGTCCCGCATCGGGCTCCTTGTTCAGCGGGGACCCTGCCTCTCCCTCTTCCTGCCACTCCCCCTGCTTGTGCTCTCACTCTGACAAATAAATAAAATCTTAAAAAAAAACCAAAAAAGGCAAAATGAATTGTAACTGAATATTGTACTCTAGTTGACAAAGTTGTTTCTCATGGGGTTACAGGTTAACAATTCTGATATGATTCCAGATGTATACTGGAATTAAACAATTAAGTAAATAGATGGAGGATGGCAGGAGCCAGGTTTCTCACTGTTGGGAGTGTGGGGTTCACAGATAAGCAAAGGAAGGAGGCTAAAATGATTCAGACAGTAATAGATTAAAGTTAGGGGCATCATTAAGAACTCATATTTAATTTAATAGAGACACAGATGTTATATATAGAAATACTTACAGACATATGTATATACACAGATTACTATACATACACATTATTTCTTTGCTCTATCAGTTCAGAGGGCCTAGAAGCAATGATACCCCAGTGGCGACAAGCATTATCTAGTGCCCAGATTTTGGTTTCTAATCTCATTTTCCAATAAAAAGAACCAGGGAGAATTCCTTGAGTAATTGGCTGATTCTGGGAATGGGACAAGAAATGCACAAGATGATCCCGGAGCATCTTGTAGTGCCAGAAAGTAAGGAAGTGCCTAAAGCAGAACAAAACCCCACAATGATGAGGGTATGTCAAAGAGACACAAGAGTCAAATGAAAATACTCCCAATGGCTAAAGCTGAAAGAATTTGAGCAACAAATAAAGTAGTGTTAAATTATAACCCAAAGTATAAAATAAATATCCTGAGTCTACCCTGATATAAATAAATGATTGAATAGGTTAATAAGTGGGGGAGAAGAGATAAATCTCCGGTGTGGAAGAATTCCAAATAAATTATGTAGCTACTCTACCCTAAAAGGAGGGGGAGCACGATTCCCCACAACTTAAATGTGGGCAACACAGAGTGACTTCCTTTCAAAGAGTATAGCATGACAAGGAGGTGGAGAAGAGTAACTTTCTGGTGGAGAAACCAGGCAAATACTACGTAAGCTACATGATTAAGGTCAACACCAATAGTCATAAATCGTTCAATTAGATGGGATGGGATGAAAATCGCACTTTACCTCTGTGATCTTCCTCCCCCAAAACCATAACTCCAGCGAATTCTGAGAATAACAGCAGAGAAATGCCAATAGAGTGGCATCCTATGATATACCTGACCACCACTCCTCAGAAGGTCAAAGTTGTCAAAAACAAGGAAAGTCTGAGAAATTGTCAGAGTCAAGAGGAGCCTAAGGACACATGACAACTAAATGCAACTAATCTGGATGGGATCTTGGAACAGAAAAAGGACATTAGATTTTTAAAAACTAAGGAAATCTGAATAAATTATGAATTTTAATACTAATTGTCAATATTGGTTCATTATTTATAACAAATATACCATACTAATGTAAGATGTCAATAATAGGAGAAGTCGTGTGCAGAGATGAGAGTAATATGAAAACTCTGTACTGTTTTACAATTTTTCTGTAAATCTAAAACTATTCTGGGACGCCTGGGTGGCTCAGTCAGTTAAGCATCTGCCTTTGGCTCAGGTCATGATCTGGGGTCCTGGGATCTAGTCCCGCATCAGGCTCCCTGCTCAGAGGGGAGCCTGCTTCTCCCTCTCCCTCTCCCTCTGCCCCTGCTTATGCGCTCTCTCTCTGACAAATAAATACATAAAATCTTAAAAAGAAAAAATAAATAAAACTATTCTAAAAAGCTAAAACCTGTTAATTTTTTAAAAATACTTCTATTTTGGGGTGCCTGGGTGGCTCAGTTGGTTAAGCATCCGACTCTTGATTTTCACTCAGGTCATGATCTCAGAGTCCTGAGTTCAAGCCCCATGTTAGGCTCCATGCTAAGCAGGGAGTTTGCTTGAGATTCTCTCTCTCCCTCTGCCCCTCCTCTCCACCCCATGCACACGTGTGTTCTCTCTCTCTCAAATAAATAAATAAATAAATCTAATAAAATAAAATACTTTTATCTTAAGCTTTCTGTCAGTTGCAGAGGAAATTAATCCTAACTTAACATCCCCATCACCCAAATTAATATGTACAAAATATTAAAAGTCCTAAGTACAATTTGGGGGAGCTCACAGACACTGTCCCTTTTTTTATAGGCTAAATTGTGGCCTCTTAAAATTCACATGCTGAACTCCAAACCACTGTCCCGCAGAATGCGACTATGTTTGGAAATAGGGTCTTTATTGAGGTAATTCAGTTAAAATAGGGACATTAGGTTGGGCCCTTATCTAATAGGACTGATCTCCTTATAAGAAGAAAAGAGTAGGACACACGTGCACAGAGGGAAGACTATGTGAAGACACAGCAGGGAAGATGGCCATCTACAAGCCAAGCAAAAAGGCCTCAGAAAAAGACGACCCTACTCGGTACCTTGATCTCAGACTGCCAGACTGCAGAATTGTGAGAAAACAAATTTCTGTTATTTAAGCAACCCAGTGGTATTTTGTTATGGCAACTCTAGCAAACGAATACACCCTCCAAAGCTCACCTACATATTATCAGACCAATCATAATAAAGAAAAGTAGAGCTCAAAGAGGTGTTCAGAGGATAGTGTTGCTGTTGTTGCAAGTCTTCACTGGGCACAGACCTCACAACAGTACCCAGCTGGGCATTTTCATACATTATTTTATGTAATCCTCAGAATATTACAAGACAGGTATGATTTATCAACCCATTTTGTACAGGGGAAAATTCAGACCCCAAAAATGTTAAATGGCTGGTCCAATCACCCAGTTTGGAAGCAGCAAAGCTAAAACAGGATTCAGATCTATGGAACCAGAGCCCAGCATCTCTCTCCTTTCCCAGCTACCTTTCAGAGACACCTCTTCAGTGAACATGCACCGTCCACACACTAAGTGAATTATATCATAATTAATATAGCTATCTTTCACTGAGCACTTATAATGGGCCAAGCACTATGCTGTGTTACCTGCATTTTTCATAAGACTATTCCCCACAATAAACCTCCTAGGTAGGTATTATTACATTTGTTCAGAGGGAGGTTCTATGTGATTAAGAACTTGCCCAAAGTTGTCCAGCTGTCCATGAAAGCCCAGGACTCAAACCCATGTCTATCTGACTCACTGGCCCATGCTCCAAGCCTCTGCTCCATTGGCCCACAGCTCCACCTCAAGCCTCAGCACCACGGCAACCCCAGGGCCCTGCCCCCAGGCACTCACCCACAACCTCCAGCTGGACTGTTCCCACTGCTTTGTGAGGGGTGATCACCACCTCACAACGGTACTCTCCTGCTTCCCGTAGCTGGACCCCTGGCAGCTGCAGCGAGGCATCCCCCCTTTTCAGCCTCCGTAGAGACACGGAGGCTCCAGGTCGGACTGTCATTTGGTGGTCTCCAAAAAACTCAAATAGTTTAACTTCTGTTGCAGACACTTGATGCTTCCAAAACCAGGTGATACCCATAATTGTGATGTCCAGGTGGTGGTAACCCTGGACTTTGCAGATAATAGTGGCATTGTCATTCAGAAGCACCGTCTGAGTCTCCCCTGCCATCTCCACTTGCAGAAAACCTGTGGCAATAAGAGAACTCAGTTATGGGAGACCCTTGGAAAAAACAGAGGCATGGTACTCTCAAAAGCTGCCACATAATTAGAAACAAATTCCCTTTTTTGTGGGGGAGGGGGTGTCTCAGGTACAGAGAGGCTCCTTAGTTCATGTCCCCACATTAATCCACATAACATCCTTCAACTTTATTCTTTTTTCAAGATTGTGTTTAGGGCGCCTGGGTGGCTCAGTTGGTTAAGCGACTGCCTTCGGCTCAGGTCATGATCCTGGAGTCCCGGGATCCAGTCCCGCATCGGGCTCCCTGCTTGGCAGGGAGTCTGCTTCGCCCTCTGACCCTCCCCCCTCTCATGTGGTTTCTCTCTCTCTCTCTCTCTCAAATAAATAAATAAAATCTTAAAAAAAAAAAAAAAAAAAGATTGTGTTAAATATTCTGTGTCCCTTGCAATTTCATAGGAATTCTAGAATCAATTTATCAATTTCTATAAAAAGTCCGCTGAGATTCTAATAGGAATCACACTGAATCCAGGGCACCTGGGTGGCTCAGTTGGTTAAGGAATCACACTGAATCTGAAAATCAATTTGGGGAGTACTGTCATTTTAACAATGTTGTCTTCTAATCCATGAATCTGTTTTGGGGATATGCTATGGACTGAATGTTTGTGTCCCTCCAAAATTCTATGTTGAGGCGTAATGCTCAGTGTGATGGTATCTGGAAGTAGGGCCTTGGGGAAGTAATTAGGTCATGAGAGTGGAGCCCTCAAGAATGGGATTAATGTCCCTGTCAGAGACATGAGAGAGAGATCTCTCAGCACCAGAGGATACAGGAAGAAGGTATTCCTCCACAAACCAGGAAGAGGCCCCTCTCCAGGAACCCAATCAGTCAGCACCAGATCTTGGGACTTCCCAGCCTCCAGAACTGTGAGAAATAAATCTCTGTTGTTTAAGCCACTCAGTCTAAGGTATTTGTTAGGGTGGCCTAAAAAGACTTAAGACAGGGTGTTTTTCCATTTCACTTATTTAGATCCTCTTAAATTTTTTTCAACCTCGAATATGCTCACTGTTCTGATTTTGTAATAATCAGAGCAAGCTAAACATTCGCTATATTAAGACCATGAATGTGTCCCCAGACTTAGTTCTTTTCCTTGGTCTGCTCTTATCAGTGCTGGTGACAGACCAAGTCTGATTTATATGATGCATCTTATTGTGAGAAATGTCCGTGACTCTAGGTATCTGATTGTCTTTGAGAAACGACAGCAAGACTAGTGTAATAACTTTTGAAGATAACCATTGCTAATTTGATGATTACCAGTTGCTATTAAAGGAACTATAAAACTAAAAAAAAAAAAAGCTTTATAGTTTTCAGAATAAAAATGTTATGCTTCTTGGGAGCGCCTGGGTGGCTCAGTCGTTAAGCGTCTGCCTTCGGCTCAGGTCATGGTCCCAGGGTCCTGGGATCGAGCCCCACATCGGGCTCCCTGCTCCGTGGAAAGCCTGCTTCTCCCTCTCCCACTCCCCCTGCTTGTATTTCCTCTCTCGCTGTGTCTCTGTCAAATAAATAAATAAAATCTTTAAAAAAAAAAAATGTTATGCTTCTTTTGTTAAACTTATTCCTAAGTATTTTATTCTTTCTGATGGCTTCATAAATAGAATTGTTTTCTTAATTTTATTTCTGGATTGCTCATTGCAAGTGTATAGAAATACTATTTATTCTTTTTTATTTCCATCTCCCTCCCCCAACAGGCAACCATTCTAAGATGTTTAATGCTTCCATTTTTGTTCTCTTTAAAACTGCCTTGTTTTGTGGGACACCTGGGTGGCTCAGGTCATGATCCCAGGGCCCTGAGATCGAGTCCTACCTCAGGCTCCTTGCTCAGCGGGGAGCCTGCTTCTCCCTCTGCCTGCCACTCCCCCTGCTTGTGCTCTCTCTCTCTGACAAATAAATAAGTAAAATCTTTTTTTTTTTAAGATTTTTTTTAAATTTATTTATTTGAGAGAGAGAATGAGATAGAGAGAGCATGAGAGGGAGGAGGGTCAGAGGGAGAAGCAGACTCCCTGCTGAGCAGGGAGCCCGATGCGGGACTCGATCCAGGACTCCAGGATCATGACCTGAGCCGAAGGCAGTCGCTTAACCAACTGAGCCACCCAGGCGCCCCTAAATAAGTAAAATCTTTAAAAAAAAAAAAAAAAGTGACTCCTTCAATAGGGTCTTTCTTTAAAAAAACAAAAAAAACCCTGCCCTTTTTGTTTCTCAAACTTACGAAAATGGTAGGGAGTTACATGTTACTGTTTGTTCTTGGCACTGTTTCAAAGCCTCTCTCATTGATACGTGTAAAGCTAGTCCATTGGCTGAAGTTAATGACGAGTTCTTCATATGCAAATCCACATTCGGTTCATCCACAGCCCCAGTGCTGGACACCCCGAGGGTCTCCTAAATGCCCACATCCCCACCCATCCAGCCACCACCACTGGCACAGCCCGGCTTATTCTGTCCAGTCTATTAAGTGTGAAGTGTTATCTTACTGTTCTAACTGCTGTGATTAGGAGTGAGTTTAAACATGTCTTCATGTGCCTTCCTTTGGTTTCCTGTTCGATAATTAGAAACATCCATCAGTGTCCCCCCCTCCCCTCGCCCCCCAAAAAAAGTAAAAGAGAGTTTGAATGTCACCATAAGGGTAAAACACTCCCCTCACACTCTCTTCGGCAAAGGCTTCAGTAAAGTGAAATATGCCCCTTCACTAGCACGCGGGCGGGTCTGTTCCTTACTTCCACTCCTCCCCACCCACCCCCCACACCTAGCTTTTCTTCTCAGTTCCAGCATCCAAAGGATGCAAAAGCGGCCACAGAGCATTCAGGGCACCGAATCAAAGGAGGCACCAGCCTCAGGCTGCTGTAAGCGCCGACTCGGTGCACAGTAGCCGGCACTAAAAATTCAAGGAGTAAACGAAGCCGCCTGTGCCGGACGAGAGCCCCGGGCGGCCGCGGACCTCACGTGGGGCTCCGCGGCGGCGGCCCCGTGGAGGAGCCGCGGCGAACCTGCCCTCCTGCTCTGCCTCCGCGGCGGCGGCCCCGTGGAGGAGCCGCGGCGAACCTGCCCTCCTGCTCTGCCTCCGCGGCGGCGGCCCCGTGCAGGAGCCGCGGCGAACCTGCCCTCCTGCTCTGCCTCCGCGGCGGCGGCCCCGTGCAGGAGCCGCGGCGAACCTGCCCTCCTGCTCTGCCTCCGCGGCGGCGGCCCCGTGGAGGAGCCGCGGCGAACCTGCCCTCCTGCTCTGCCTCCGCGGCGGCGGCCCCGTGCAGGAGCCGCGGCGAACCTGCCCTCCTGCTCTGCCTCCGCGGCGGCGGCCCCGTGCAGGAGCCGCGGCGAACCTGCCCTCCTGCTCTGCCTCCGCGGCGGCGGCCCCGTGCAGGAGCCGCGGCGAACCTGCCCTCCTGCTCTGCCTCCGCGGCGGCGGCCCCGTGCAGGAGCCGCGGCGAACCTGCCCTCCTGCTCTGCCTCCGCGGCGGCGGCCCCGTGCAGGAGCCGCGGCGAACCTGCCCTCCTGCTCTGCCTCCGCGGCGGCGGCCCCGTGCAGGAGCCGCGGCGAACCTGCCCTCCTGCTCTGCCTCCGCGGCGGCGGCCCCGTGCAGGAGCCGCGGCGAACCTGCCCTCCTGCTCTGCCTCCGCGGCGGCGGCCCCGTGCAGGAGCCGCGGCGAACCTGCCCTCCTGCTCTGCCTCCGCGGCGGCGGCCCCGTGCAGGAGCCGCGGCGAACCTGCCCTCCTGCTCTGCCTCCGCGGCCCAGCGCCCCCGCCCCCACCCGCTCCTCCGGCGCCGCGGGCCTACCTGCGCTGGGTGGACAGCACCACAGGACCAGAAGCTGAGGCCCAGACAGCAGCAGGAGCAGCCGCAAGTGCGCCATGCCTCCGGTCCGCGGGCCTGGCCGAGCCCGGGCCAGTGTCCGAAGCCGCCGCCGGCCGCGCACGCGACCTGATGCAACTAGCCGCCGCTGTGAGACGGACGGAACCGCCGCGCGACGCACTGAGTCCGTGTGGAGACGGAGCGGATTTAACCTGAGCCCCAGAGCGGCCTTCCGGGCCTTTGCGTCCCCTCTGGTAGTCGACGGAGCGAGCTGGGACGAGTCCCCTCACACTCCTCTGGCCGCGGGAAGGTGCCGCGCGCCGGGACGGCACGCAGGAGGTTCCGGCCGGGGGGCGGGGGGGGCGGGGGGGGGCGGGGCTGGCAGAGGCCGAGCTCCGAGCCCGCCTCCCAGAGGTGGGGCGGGGCCTTGGGCCCAGGTCACTGTAAACTGAAGCCGGCAGCCGGCAGCCGGCAGCCGGCAGCGGGTTTACCCCGGGCGCCGCTCGCAACGAAGCGCCGCGGTGGGTGGTGGCGCTGCTAGAGCGGGGCGCGGAGCGCGGCCACTGCTCTCACCGTACAGCACGTGGCTCCGTCAGCCGAACTGCCCATTCTGGGCTTTTGCTTAGGCCACGATCTCAGCGTGGTGAGATCAGCCCCCCAAGGCTCCCTGCTGAGCGGGGAGTCCGAGAGTCTTTCCGTCTCCCTCTGCCCCTCCCCTCATCCTGAGCCGACGCCATGCTCTCTTAAAAACAACCAACCAACCAAACAAAAACTATATATAGGGCGCCTGGGTGGCTCAGGCCGTTAAATGTCTGCCTTCGGCTCAGGTAATGATCCTGGGGTCCTGGGATCGAGCCCCGTATGGGGCTCCCTGCTCCGCGGGGAGCCTGCTTCTCCCTACCCCGGCATGCCGCTCCCCCTGCTTGTGCTTTCTCTCTGACAAATAAATAAAATCTTAAAAAACAAAACAAGGGGGAAAAAAGTCTATATATATAGATATACATAGCCATATATATCTATATAGATATCTTTATGTATCTTTAAAGATATATGGAGACATATATAGAGATCTTTAAAGTAAGTTTACATTCTGAAACTGAAAGCCCATCTGTATCTCCAGAACGCTTTAGTCAAACATCAAAAGGCAGCCCTTAATTTCCCTTATTAATCAGAAAGTGGCTTCTGACCTCCTCCCGCAAAACCTAAAATGTTCATTCAGTGATGCTTACCTTTTACCACTTCCAGACCAGTTTTTTTTTTTTTTTAAAGATTTTATTTATTTGAGAGAGAGAGAGACAGTGAGAGAGGGAACACAAGCAGGGGGAGCGGGAGAGGGAGAAGCGGGCTTCCCGCTGAGCAGGAAGCCCAATGCGGGGCTCGATCCCAGGACCCTGGGACCACGACCTGAGCAGAAGGCAGATGCTTAACGACTGAGCCACCCAGGAGCCCCTCCAGACCAGTTTTTAAATCAGTTTTAACTACAAAGTTCAGAACACAAGTAGCAGTGCTATTATAATAAATAAATGCACATACTTCTTGACCCAGCATCTTGCATTCCAGTAGTCCTGCTGATCCTACTTAATTTTTTCCTCACATCATTAAAAACAATGTATGTAATCTATAGAAAATCACAGGCAGACCTGGACTCAAGACCCAAGTTCAGGCTATATCATCACTGACTGTATGACAGTGGGCAAGTTACCTCAGTTTCCACTTCTCTAAAACTGAGATGGTAACAACCCTGCAGGGCTGTTTTAAGAATTACAGGATCAGTGCTCGCTTCGGCAGCACATATACTAAGAATTACAGGATCAGGCAGCATGTGAATGAAGACTTAGTGGTACTGTCAGTAACTAAGCAAATGTTTACATTCTCACCTATCTGCAGAACAGCATGCAGAGTGGAAAGAGCATAGAACTGGGAGGTGGGCAGGGTGCCCACACTGAGACCAACTAGCTGAGGGACCTTCACAAAGTCACAGTTTCTGAGCCACAGCTCTAACAAGTAAGAGATCTACAAGGTTAGGTCCAGCTACAGTAGTCTATACCTCTTCTCAACTGCTACCTCTTCCAGGCAGTCTTACCCTGAGGAGAAGTCCTCTTCTGGTATTACTGACATCATTAAATAACTTCCCCCAAAGGAAGTTATTTGGTGAATCCCCATACTTGCCCAGTAAACCACTCTGCAAACCACTGAAATTTCTACTTATGTGCTATAACTGGAAGCAGGGGCTGCATCTTAAGAAATGCTCGAGGGGCCCCTGGGTGGCTCAGTCGGTTAAGCTTCTGCTTTTGGCTTAGGTCATGATCACAGGAGCCCCACATCAGGCTCCATGCTCGGCAGGAAGCCTGCTTCTCCCTCTCCCTCTGCCTGCCTGCCTGCTTGTGATCTGTCTGTCAAATAAATAAATAAAATCTTAAAAAAAAAAAAATGCTGGAAAAGGAATTCCTTCTTTGATACATGATCTCTAAGGCCCTCTGACTCTTTGACTCTATAATTGTGTTTTGCAAACAACCCACTCTTTCAACATTGCCAAGTTTGTCTTTTTCCCCAGAAAATTACAACAAATATTACATATTTTTTCTGATTTTACATTTAATATAATTAAAACAAAGCTATACAAATGATGACTAGAATAATATTTTCTGACAAATATTGCACTGGGAGAATTTTTACAATATAAAATCAAAAAACAAATATAACAAACTTGTGTAAGGTCTCTGTGTCTTCCTGATTATCAAATTAAAATCCAGTTATTTGTAGTTTTTTTAAAGGATCCAATTTTCTAAAGAAGCCAAAAAGAATTAAATCTAAATATACTTCAGATTAATAAAATTTCTGTCCAAACTCTAAAATTAACAGAACACTTTTGGCCACATATTTATAAAAGGTTACATTTTTAATTCAACACTTAAATTGAAAAAAATTCCAGTCCCCCAAATTTAGCAATAACAAATAAAATAAATGGTCTTTAAGATAGGATGTATATACCATCATTATTAAAAGTTTTTTTAAAACATAATAAATATTGATAAAATACGGATTATGCAGCACTGGTTTTCTTCATGAAAAGGAAAAGCAAAAATTTTTCACTTTTTAATTCCAGGACACAATTTTTTTCAGAAGACACTAACTAATGGTCTTCCTTCCACGCCTATTTTAGGCACAAGCTTACATATAAATGTACACATATTGCTTCTGAAATATGATCTTTCAATTAGAGGCTATAAAAATTGGTACATAGACACTTTGAAACTTGCAAGGGCTTATTATAACCTTCATGTGTGCTAATAGATCCTGGACTAACAGTTTCAAAGAAAGAAACACCTTCAGTGCTCCACCTCTGCTACAGTACTTGAGCCTCCAGGGCTCTTCCATTCTTAGGCCCTGAAACTGGATGGAAAGGTGCAAATAGAGCTATCTGGAAATCACCAGAGCCATCACAAAAGAATGAAAAGATGCTCTGGGCATTAACTGGCTTCCAATTATCTTTAAAATAAAATACTTATCTTCTATTATATCTCTCACAAATCTTTTGTAAATTAATCCTGTTTTAATAAAGTCACCTCTACATCTTCCTTAGTGGTAATACAATAAACTCCCTTGGAGAAAAGATGAATAGTTTGGGATTGTGAGGGAAGGGCAGAATTCATTAGAAAGGCCTGATAGTAAACCCCAAAAGCTAGCGGCAGGGGCGACAGTGAAACTTTAAGACAGCTGACAGTGGTGCTGATAACTTTCTACATCACTCAAAGCTTTCTCCATTGACTCAGGAGGTGCATTAGAAACACAGCAGTGGGAAAGTCAATACAAAAAGTAGAAAAGGGAAGAGTTCATAGAGAGAAAAGAACTTAATTAAAGCTCAGATCAGGGCACCTGGGTGGCTCAGTCTGTTGAGCATCCAACTTTGGGTTTCCAGACCTGGTCTAGTGGGTCACGGTCTCAGGATTGTGGAATGGAGCCCACCTCTGCTCGGTGCTCAGCAGGGAATGTACTTGGGGATTCTCTCCCTATGCCCCTCTCCCCCTAAAATAAATAAATGTCTTAAAAAACAAAAACAAAAAACAACTCAGATCATCCAGGCAAAAATAACAAATACAAAAAACTATGCTACTTCTCTTCTAATCAGAGATTGCAAAATTCATGTCCTGGTCTTTCTATTACAAAAAATACTTTTTTTTTCCTTTATTAACAACCGTAAGGCAGAAAATGTCTGCTGGAATGCACAAAATATTTTTTAAACTATTATTACTTAAGGAGAGTACAAAAAAGCTAAAGAATTGGACAAGGGACATTGATCAGAGTCTGAATGCTATGCATTTGCTCCATAAGCTGGTTCACTCTGTGGAAGAGGAGTCAGGAACCCTATTCATAAGTCAGAAATTTTGTTTAGGGTTAGAGTTACTCTCCACAGTGCTCAGGAACCCCTCCAGGAATGACTGCGGCTTGCCTAAGTAGCTCTAGGATACCCCTCTAGAAATGACTGCCTGCTTGCTGAAATAGCTCTTTCTGCAAATGTGGTTTTTCTTTTTCCCCATATCAATCGTGAATCTCAATGAAACATGCTATAAATATCAAAGGGAGTGGAAATACACACACATCAAAGGAAACAAGAAATGTATATGGGATTAGAACTGAGAGTTAATCAGAAAAAAAATTAAGATACAAACTCTAACATCCATTGCTCAATGCTATAGAACAAGAAGATGATTGCTGTGTTTGACAAAAATGCTTCAATACTACCACAAAAATGTTTAAACACTAAGAGGCATGGCAAATGTTTTTAAAAAAAGGAAAAAATCTATAAGACATCATCACACTAATAAGGAAATATTTACAAAGAAGCAATACCAAGAACAGAAAGGGAAGAATTCAAAAGTAAAGCAAACTCAAATCACTTTGAGGGTAATAGTGACAGATAGACACATTGAAGGGTAATAGTGAACAGCAAAGTAGGTAAAACAACATTGTACAAAACAAATACAGAATATGGCACAGGCTGTACATGGATTTCATACTCCACACAAAAGGAACCGAAAATGAGGGCAGGGATTTAGTTAAATGACACATACTCTCCTATCACTAAAAATCTACATTTAAGGTGGACTAAAATTGAACAAAAATAACATTTTAACACAACGATTCATGGAAGAAGGCAAAGAGAACTAGATGGAATCTTATTTCTTCTCTCTCACTTTTAAAGCACTCAGACAAGTTATAGCTTTAAAATCATGTGGAAATAAATCATTACCCATTTTTAAATTCCATGGAGCAGCAAAATTAAAAGAACTGTAAAATAAAATATTTTAACATTTTAGTTACAAGATCTATATTCATAATCTTGGAAATCTTAGAAAATATACTTATTACCAAGGATAAAATAAAAAGAGATAAGGAAATTTGCACAGCAAAAGTCAAATCTATTGCTTGCAATAAATTATAAACAAAATCAAATTTGTTTAAAGGCATGCACAGCTCTGAAGTTAAATGGAAGGGTAAGCTTATAGGGAAAAATACACTGTCAAGGGCTGACTAACAACCAAGCTGGTACATGGCATTCATCAAGAGTACGACTAATGCCAAAAAGAAGATAGCAGGAGGGGAAGAATGAAGGGGGGGAAATCGGAGGGGGAAACGAACCATGAGAGACGATGGACTCTGAAAAACAAACTGAGGGTTCTAGAGGGGAGGGGGGGGTGGGAGGATGGGTTAGCCTGGTGATGGGTATTAAAGAGGGCACGTATTGAACGGAGCACTGGATGTTATATGCAAACAATGAATCATGGAACACTACATCAAAAACTAATGATGTAATGATTAACATAACAATAAAAAAAGAGTACGACTAATGCCAGTTAAAATGTAAACTAAAAGCTCTGCAGGAAAAACTGTAGATATCTATAAAAATCAAATGTAGGGGGCTTTTTCTATATAATTCTAGAGGTAATATTGGGGGAAAATCTAAATACCTAAAATTAAGTCAAAGGTTTTATTGGTTTTGCTTTGCTTTTTCTCAATAAAGAGGTTGGCAGTGCTAGTAATCATAAATTCACATTTTTCAATTTGGTGCCTTTACCACTTGCTGCTGCTGCTTGTTCTGGCTCAGTTCTTGGATTGTCTAAGAAATGGGTATTACTCCATAGCTAAGTACTCATTTAAAAAATAAATTAGGGGCGCCTGAGTGGCTCAGATGGTTAAGTGTCTGCCTTCAGCTCAGGTCACAATCCCAGGTCCTGGGATCGAGTCCCGCATCGGGCTCCCTGCTCAGCAGGGAGCCTGCTTCTCCCTCTGCCGCTGCCTCTCTCTATCTCTCTCTCTGACTCTCATGAATAAATAAATAAATAAAATAAAATAAATAAAAATAAAAAATAAATTAAATGTGAGTAAGGAAAAATTAGAATCCTGATAATGATATTGTGTTAAAAAAAAAAAAAAGGCAAGGAAAAGACCAGATTTCCCTCTAATCTCACACCTTGAAAGCAAGTTGTCATTACAGTCTTTCATTCTTTCACCCACAGGGAACAAAAAAGTACACTCTTCACTTTACTTAGTGCACCTTAGTCTCTCAATTAAAAAAAAAAAAAGAACTAAAGTATTAAGGTGAGGCACCAGTGGTTAAGGGTGAAAGTGGACTTCTTTAGCAGGTTCTTCAAGTGATAAAAATCTCACATGACAACGATGAAGCTCATCATCTAACTCTGGCTCTGTTTCAACTTCTTCTTCATTGTACCGCACAGCTATAAAACAAAGATCAAATTTTAGGCACTAACCAGAACTAGGCTTGTCAAATTTTCTTCCTAAAGAAAATAAATTTCTCACCACATTCTCACAAAACTGTAAAATTTTCTTTGTATTTTTCTTTCTGTGAAAAACAGATGTGCATTTAGGCTTTGGTAATACAAATCTGTTCAATTAGTATAGAAAATAATGCTGTTGTAAACACATTTTGGTTAAAAAAAAAAATGTAGAGACATATCTCAAAGAATTTTTTTTACCACTACTTCTAAACTGCAGTTTCTCTTAGCAAGAGTCAAATATTCTAGAGGGCTATCATCTTCCAAAATCTAATTTTAATTATATATACCTAAGTATACTCTAAAATTTATATGCTTTATGAAAATTCATATGTGAAACAAAACCCCAAATTACTAATATATACCACTTAGTCACCTAAATCAAAGACTACTGAATACCTAAAAAGTATTAAGAAGAATGGTATAGGGGTGCTGGGTGGCTCAGTTGGTTAAGCGACGGACTCTTGATTTTGGCTCAGGTCATGATCTCAGGGTCCTGAGATGGAACCCCATGATGGGTTATGCTCAGTGGGGAGTCTGTTTGAGATTCTCTCCCTCTCCCTCTCCCTACACTCGTGTGCTCTCTCTAAAATAAATAAATAAATTTTTAAAAAATTTAAAAAAAAAGAATGGTATAAATTAAGCACACGACCAATACTTTCTAAGAGAACTGTAAAGAATACTATTAGCAACTCTGTAAGAAACAGTATTTGCTCATAGATGCCCAGTACTCTTAAGAACTGGAATTCCTTAAGTCCATAGATAATCTTGGGCTAACAATTCTTTTTTTTTATTTTAAAGATTTTTATTTATTCATTTGAGAGAGAGAGCGTGCGCGCGCGCACAAGCAGGGGGAGGGGCAGAGTGAGCGAGACCAGACTCCCCTGCTGAGCAGGGAACCTGACATGCAGGGCTTGATCCCAGGACCAGGAGATCAAGACCTTAGCCCAAGGCAGACGCTTAACCATCTGAGCCACCCAGGTGCCCCCAATTCTTTTTTTAATAATATAAATTACGATGATTTGCTGGAAACTGTGAGGTATGTCTACGGTAATATCCACCCACTATTACTCATGCCAAAAGATCATTTGAAGAAACGTCTCTAAATTCTCCTCCAATTATATTTTTAACTGAATATATTTGACATATAACATCATGTAAATGTAAGATGTACAACATGTTACTTTGATACATTTTGTATTCTCATGATTACCCTGTATCCATATGTATCATATTACATAATCATAGTACAATATTGTTGTCTCCAATTCCTTTCTGATTGAGCCCCAGTCCACCATCTAAAAAAGTTTACCCTGGGTGAATCCCTGTCTTATCACAGTTTCTTGTCACAGAGTCATCAACAAAAGGATATGCCAGATAATTTTTTAATGTTTCCTACAATTTAAACAATAGAGATAAGAATCCTTCTCCATCTCTAAGGAAACACAGCACTACTCTAGTAAGTGATTTTTTTTGTGGTTTCTTTGTTTGTTTGTTTTTGTGTTGTTTTTTTTTTTTACAGCTGTATGTAAGCAGAACTTTCCCAGATTGCTACATTTAATTTTGGGATCCATGATTTAAGAAAAAAAAAATCTGAGGTATCTTTGGAGCATGCACTGATCATTTTAAAATTTTATAAAATGAGGACTAAGAGTTTTAAAAATTATTGTGAAGAGACACAATGTAAAATTATGAAATGTTACGACAGATTGGCTCATTCAACAGCTTTAAACATGCCTTCCTGTACTACAGAGGTAGTAAAGTTAAACACTAGGATTTCCCAACCCCCCTTGCAGCTAGGTTTCCAGATATGATTAGTCCAGTCAATCAGATGCACTCACTTGAGACCTTTGCTCAGAACCAAGTCACACGGGGAGAGAGGCAGCACACGAGGTGTCCACTTCTGCCAACACAAAGCACGGCAGAGGTGGTACAGTTCTGGAGCTGGCAACTGTTCTCAGCTTCCTTAATCCAGCAGGAGGCATCTTGATCTGGCAGGCAACTTCTTGATTGTTCCAAAAGCAGCAGCTTCCTTGGCAGCCCACTCTTGTGATGTAGTTCCTATGAAGCTCAGCCTAAATTCTGTTTCATCTGCCTTCCCAAAGATTCTGTGAGTTACCCTTAATCAAGCACCCCTTAATCAAGCCCCTTCTGTTCAACAGCTAAAGAAGATCCTATTATCTACAACCAGGAATCCTGACCTAGAAAGAATTTGGTAGCTAGAAGTAAGGTACAGCTAGTAAAAGGATCTTAAATATGGAGTTAGCTTAGTTGAGGAGGTAGGGCTTTGGGAAGTGAGACCTCAAGCCACTAAGGTTAAGGTATTAGAGGAAGTAGTGGTAGAACTTCAGAATGTTAGCATGTGGGCTGCTTCTAGCCTCTTTCGGCAAAGTCATACAGGAGAGATGGGACTCAGGCTAAGGGTAACAAGACTGCACAGATGGAAAGGAATACAGCTTTGCCGAGGGAATGGCTCTCTACGAAATAAATCGACAAAGTCCCAAATCTAGAGCCCTGAGAAATTGGAAAAGTCAGCTACTCCAAACTGAAACAGTTATAAGTAAAGGTTCTGAGGAAGCTGCTAAAGCTTCCTCAACCTTTTTCTGCCTTTCCTTTTTCTGCCTCAACCTTTCTTAAGAATTTTCTGCCAAGCAATGGGAGCCATCCCAAGGAAAGAGATCAGACTGGGATTGTTGCCATCCCACCCAAGCCTACAATTTAAAATGGTCCCAAGTAGGTACGATTCATTTAAGACCCAAGGGGAGAGAGAGAGAGCACAGAAGCCAGCAAGTAAAAGATGATGTTCTTTGTTAAAAACTGTGTCTTGACAAGATCTTTGTGGTTACTCATGGTAATAATTGAAAAAGACAGACCAGAAACATACTAAGTTTTTAGGGAACTTTTTTGCCAAAAAACAAAACAAAACAAAAACAAACCCTAAACCTGGCCTGCAACAGCCTGTTAACTATCTAAAACAATTCCCAAGCCCCTAAACCCACCATAACAGGAAGTAAAGTACTAAAGCTGTCCAGCCACCAAGACCAGCACACTTTCCAATGCCCACACAATGTGTCCTTGAAAATTAAGGGACAATAAAAACTTCCTAGAAGGCAGTGCCAAGGGCCCCTGAGGACATTCGACAAGTGAGTTCCTCCCACAAAAGTGAATCAGGGGTTGCCTGATATGAAAACCAAGGAATATATTTACAGACAGGGCAGAGAGACCTTGCTATTTTTGCCAAGCAGTACCTTTTAAGTGTTATGGATCAGTGGCTGCTATTTTCCCCTCTTCTGAAAGGTTGATTTTATTGCAGTTATCCTGTACCTATCCCACCATTATGCATTTGGTACTCATGAGGCAGACACCTTGTTTTTTATTTGTAGATGGCCAGAACATTAGGTGCCACATCCCAACCTTACAGAGAGGACTATACAAGGGTATCATGGTCTTTGAGCTATATGCAATAATGGATTGGATGTGGGGTATTTCCTTTTGGGGCAGGGCAAGTGAGTGTTTTCTATGTTTCAGAAGAGTGTACACAGATATATAGGTAGCCAATAAAGCTGTCTGGGTTAAAATTGAAAGTTGCCTACCAAACATGACCTCCTTCGTCTTTAGTTAAAGATCCTAACTTTTAGCTGGTCCCAATGCCACATGGATTTCTCAACTTCCCTAGCAGCTACATGACCAATGAGATGTAAGTTAAAATGTTGTGTGGTTCTCCAGGAACACTGAATCCAGTAAGCTGATGCAACTGGGGGGGGAAGTTCTTTTTCCTCCTCTTGCCCACTGCCTCCAAAAGCAATCTTGGACAGTGAGAATGAAATAACTTGAGGATAAAAACCATGCACTGAGGATAGCAGAACAGAGAGGTAGGAACCTGGACACCACCTACCTACAGATTTCCTTTATGGAAGAGGGAAGAATTCCTATTTAGTTTAAAACACTGTTATCTTTGGTTTTTCTAGTTTTTTTTTTTTTTAATATTTTATTTATTTATTTGACAGAGAGAGAGATAGCGAGAGCAGGAACACAAGCAGGGGGAGTGGGAGAGGGAGAAGCAGGCTTCCCGCTGAGCAGGGAGCCCGATGCGGGGCTCGATCCCAGGACCCTGGGATCATGACCTGAGCCGAAGGCAGACACTTAACGACTGAGCCACCCAGGCGCCCCGGTTTTTCTGGGTTTTTGTAGCAGAACCTGATCTTAAATAATAGAGTAGAAAGCAAAAATATGAACCAAAAAATGATCTGAAGTGGTAGCAAAAGCTATTCAGTAGAAGAATTTCTAGCAGGTAAGGTTTCTGGAAGTAGGAAGAAGTTACCAGGAAACACTGGGGGAAAGTGCGATCTTCTCAGAAGAAGAATTATTAACATCAAAGAGACTTTTATCGAGAGAGGGGCTGATAAGCACCTATAAAAGACTATCTTTATGAGTAAGTGACAACAATATAATTTACTTTAAAAGCAATACAGAACTTTTTCACTTAAACAGTTACTGATAGTTTCATTAAATTATGGCATAATTATGGCCACTTAATTAAATCATTAAGGGAGAACAAATTAAAAAGAAGAGAGGTATGAAAGTCAGAGCAGATACTGAGTTTGTATTCTTCCTGGTTGTGGTGGACTTCAATCCTTAAATATCTGTGTCCTGAAAAGATGTGTTCTCATTTAAAAAGTATCTTCCTTTATTCCATATATGCTTTAAAATATTTATTGAGCAGAAAAAAAGGAAGGGTGGTAAAAAGATGACACAGATGTTGATTTAACAGTTTTCTTCCAAGTTCTGGTGGACTTCGGACTTTAAATGTCTGTTTGAAAAAAAAATGCTCTCATTTTAAAGGTATCTCCCTTTATTCTGAATCTCCTTATATATTATATATATATATAATATATATGCTGAAATTAGTAGATATATATATGTAAGTATAAATATAAAGCATTTTTAAAATACGCTTAGCTAATCATAGATTACAATTAAGAAACCATGTTCTCTGACAATATCAATAACTGATTAGAAAGAATTGTGAATAATTTGAAATAAATCATTTCACCATAAATAGAGCTATCAAATTATATAGCTTTTGAAATGTGCTAATGCATAGACATTTTAGAAGGCTTCTTTCTGTACGTTTTTCTGTACATTTTTCTGTAGTATGAGTTGCACTAGTTCCACAAATATATAGTAAATACCATAGATATTAATGATTTGAAATTACATTTGTAATAAACGTAGATTTCAATTTATTCAATTTTTTTATTTCCTTAAACAAAAAAAATAAAGTTACATACGTGGCTGGAACTTCAATTCTCCACCAGGCCCTGATGGAGGAAATTCTTGTTGTAATTTTTTTTGTTCCATCTGCTGTACAACCTAGTGCATGGAAAAAGAATGTCTTAAAAGTAAGTATTCTTTTATTTTCTCATGACCTTTGACAAACCACAACAAACTAATTGAAAATTGTTTTCCAAAATGAGATATTCAAACTTCAAACTTTAGATTAATATTCAACAAAGCAGTTTTTAAAATACTAAAATTTAAAATACTATAGCTAATCGGACATTGAAATATTATATTACAAAAAACACACGCTTTTACCAAAACACCTAAAATTCTTTTTAATGCTGCAATCATTTTATAAATACCACCTGATGGTATTCCAGCTTCTGAGCCTCAAGTTGGTCATGCTGACGCTGTAGCTCTTCCTTTTGTTTCTGAAGTTCATCTGCCTTTTTCTTAAGTTCACTTTCTTGTAAGGAGATAAGATTTTCATATTCTTTCAGTTCTTCCTCTGTGAAGAGCTGTTGCTGATCCAGTGTCTAAAAGGAAAAAAATTGAGGAAAGAATAATCTTGGCTATACAACAAGGTTTGATTCAGCTTTTAAAATTCTATGATTAGTAAAGTACAAGAGTATCTATAGTAATACACATTTTTGGTAAGAAAGGGGAAATAAGAAAATATATATTTATGTATTTATTTGAGCAAAAGGAAAAATCCAAGGCTAGTGAAATGGGTTACCTACAGAACAATGAAGAGAACTGGGTAGAAAGGACAGAGAGAATGTGGGAAAAGAAATCACATTTCTCTAAATACACCTTTTTCGTACAGGTTTGATTTTTAGAAACTTGTCAGTGTTTCATATACTCGAGAAAAGAGAAGAAAGAAAATCCACAAGGACAGGAAAACCCAAATTGACTACAAACAAAAGAAAATAAATTATACTTTTATTTTAAGTGACTAAAACAGAAGCGGGAAAAAAGAACTAATCAAGAAACTTTGGATCAGAGTATTCAGACTATATGCTCAGGTTAAAAACAACAACAAAAATCTAAACAAATAATAAATTTTTTTTTGCAGAGTTTAGCAATCTGAAACACTCTGAACATCCTAGGATTGAGGAAATAAGTGGAATAATATTGTGGAAAATAGGAGCCAGGTTTCATATGAAATATGGAAAGAGGAAGAAATAGGATGTTGTACAGGAATTGGGAGGCATTGGACTGAAATTTCAGGAGGTAGCAGCGTGAACTCATTGTTTGTGTTTTATTTTGTTTTTTTAAGATTTTATTATTTACTTGAGAGAGAGAGAGCGGGCATGAGTGGGGGAGGGGCAAAGGGAGAGGGAGAAGTAGACTCCACACTGAGCAGGGAGCCCCCACACTGGGCTCTGTCCCAGGACCTGGGATCATGACCTGAGTCAAAGGCAGATGCCTAACCGACTGAGCCATCTAGGCGCCCCAGTGAGCTCATTAAGTTTTAATATATATTGATACCTAAATATACCAGGATGAATATGAATGTAAGTGTATCTGTGTATGTGTATAATACATGCATATACAGATAGACATAATACAAATAGAAATATATATATATAAATATACACATACACACTTAAATGTTTTTTAAATTACCCAACTCTATTATCTGACAAAGCCTAGAAGCAAAGATTCTCTGGTAGCAAGGAACACATCCAGGGCCCAGACCCAGTCTGTAATAATGATCTCCACTAAAAGGGACCAGTGCTCCTCAGAAAAATGGCTGATTCCAGAGGTGGGATGGAGAAATAACAAGATGAGCCTTGAACATCATCTAATTATGCTAATAAGAAAGGAAGTCCTCAAAGAAAGATAGGTAACATGCCAAAAGGATACAAAAGTCAGTTTGAAGAAACTCCCACTAGCCAAATCTGAAGCAATTTGGGCATCGAAATAAGTAGTGATAGTAAGGATTCAAGCTTATTGAATAAAATAAGCCATGAATCTACACTCAAACAAACAGAAATGGGGGAAGGGATACCTTTTCCTGACTGCAGAAAGCCAATTAATAAATGTAGAAGGAATGATGATTAGAAAATCACCATTTGTCAATAGTCATTGTAATAACTGATTCTGGCTAGAATCACCAAGGATGCTAAAATTAGTAGATAATGAATCTCAAAGTATACCCTCGAAGATGCTTTAAAAAAAAAAAAAAAAAAACAGTGGTAATGATGGTAGTGTAAATTGGTACAATTCTTTTGAAAAATACTTTTACAAAATATATCAACTGCCCTAAAAAGATTCCCTTGGTCTTGGTAGTGCTACATTGAGAATCCATCCTATAAAATAACCCTAAACACATAGTAAGCTTTATATAAAAATGTGTTTATAGCAGCACTACCTTTTTAAAATAAATAGTAAAAGAATGGGTGTCTGGCCCTGAGAAAACAGTTAAGCACTTCCATAACTATTAAAGTTATGCTTACAATTAATATTTGGAAATACTTTTGATATGATGTCAAGTGATTTTTTTTGAATGCTGACTTCTGATTCTGGCAGTATGGTGGATTAGACAAAATAAGAGTTTAAGTTACAAAGTGAGGAAACGTGGTAGACAGTCTCTTAACCAAATAATCAAAATTAACATTGCCAGTTATGAAATTAATCAGCAGCATATGCTTCATGATATGATGCACTTAGCATCACTTTGGTGGTATTCCTACCAAAACCAGAAATCCGAAAGCAACAGCAGACTGATTCAAACTGAAGGATATTCTACAAAATTACTGGTCTGTACTCTTTAGAAACATGAACGCCATGAGATACAAAGACTTGGGAACTGTTTCAGATTAAAGGAGATTAGGAAGACATTACAACTAAATTCAGTATATGATTCTGGATTTTCTTTTGCTATAAAGGACAGTATTAGGAAAATTAACAAAAATCTCAATAAAGTCTAGAGAATGGAAAAGAGCTTTTTGTGTGTAGTCATAGATAATTTTACTGTGGTTGTGCAAGATAAATCCTTGTTTGCAAAAAATACACACTCAAGTATTTAAGGTTAAAGCAGCACCATGTGCCACTTACTCTCAAAAAAATTATGTATGTTATATATAAATACACATACGCACAGATTAAAAATAGAGAAAGAGATAAAGAGAATAACTGTAGTAAAATGAGAAATCTGGAGGAAGGGTATTCAGGAATTCCTTGTCTATTCTTATAACTCTTCCGTAAAAAAATCTAAAATTATGTTAAAATGAAAAAAAGTATGTAATTATCGATTGCTCTAGTTCACCAGAAGCAATAACGGGAATGCATGTTCAAGCACCTGAGCATTCTTCTTCTTCTTCACCAAAGGGCAGAAATATTATAAATATTAGGAAAAAAATGACCAAAAAAGCTGATTTCTTTATTCTCGAACTAAGATGATAAACTGTCATACTGGGACTGTTCTCGTTTCAGCACTAAAAACTCCCATGTCCCAGGAAACTCCTCAGTCCAGGCTACACCAGGACAGTTGGTCACCCTATCTCAAACTAGTTTCTGGACAATTAAAAACCTAATCAAAATGGTAATCTTTTAGATTTTGTATAGAAAATGACAATTTTGGGGCGCCTGGGTGGCTCAGTCGTTAAGCATCTGCCTTTGGCTCAGGTCATGATCCCGGGGTCCTGGGATCGAGCCCCGCGTCGGGCTCCCTGCTTGGCGGGAAGCCTGCTTCTCCCCTCCCACTCCCCCTGCTTGTGTTCCCTCTCTCGCTGTGTCTCTCTCTGTCAAATAAATAAAATCTTAAAAAAAAAAAAAAGACAATTTTTTTTTCAATCTCTTCTGGTCGCTACCTCTCAACTATTCTTTTAAAAATGTGTATGCACAGTAAACTATGGAATAAATTGGTATACCTCTCGGGAGCAATTTGACAAGACGTATTTAGAAACTAAAAATGGTCATAAACCTTGAGAATAGTTCTATTCCTAGGAATTAGTCCCAGGGAAATTATTATAGATGCTCAAATATGTATGAACAAGTAGAGAGTCATCATAGTGTTAATTACTACAGTAAAAAAATTGGAATTGACCCAAATGGCTAGATCTGTTCCAATGGTTATATAAATTATGCTATAATCACACAACTGCATGCTAAGGAGTCATTTCTAAACTCTGTTTTTTGAGGAATGGCATCATGAAATATTGTTAACATTAAAAAACACACAATTTCCCAAACATACAAAGACATTTATACAGTATGAAGCCATTTTAAGACTATATAGACAGGATGGGGTGCCCGGGGGGCTCAATCCGGTCAGCCTCTGACTTCGGCTCAGGTCATGGTCTCAGGGTCCTGGGATTGAGTTGCATCGGGCTCTGAGCTCAGCGGGGAGTCTGCCTCTCCCTCTGCCCCTCCCACTGCTCATGCTCTCACACTCTCTCTCAAATAAATACATAAAATCTTTAAAAATATACATAGAGAGGTAGGAGTTTATGTGTGTACGTAAATTAAAAATGGGACAGGTGTGCCTGGGTGACTTAGTCGGTTGAACACCTGGCTCTTGATTTCGGCTCAGGTCATGATCTCAGGCTGGTAAGACTGAGCTCCACATCAGACTCCATGATGGGCATGGAGCCTGCTCAAGATTCTCTCCCTCGGGCACCTGGGTGGCTCAGTTGGTTAAGCAACTGCCTTCGGCTCAGGTCATGATCCTGGAGTCCCGGGATCGAGTCCCGCATCAGGCTCCCTGCTCGGCGAGGAGCCTGCTTCTCCCTCTGACCCTCCCCCCTCTCATGTACTCTCTCTCATTCTCGCTCTCTCAAATGAATAAATAAATCTTTAAAAAAAAAAAAAAGATTCTCTCCCTCTCCTTCAGCCCCTCCCCCTCATTTGCTCTCTCTCTCATAAATAAATAAATAAATAAATAAAATAAAAATGGGACAGTACACTCTATATTGTGTGCTATATATGCATATACTAAAGATACAAACTATTTCCAAATCGTCATAATACAATGCATAAATTAAGTGTCTACCTCTGGATGGTAGAATTATAGGTAACTTCTCATTTATTCTTTAAATGTATCTATATTTCTAATTTTCAAGAATGAACACTAGAAAAGGAAAATTTTAAAAAGACTTCTAATTATATGTAACATGATTACAAATAAGAGGTCAATTGACACAAGCTTTCCAAAAAATCAAGTTCATTATTTTATAGTGACATTTTATTGAAAAGCCGAGACAGTAAGGCTCTACATGCAAACATAATGGGAAATAAAAGTTAAAAGTAGAATGAACTGATGTAGAATTTCTTGAACCATACATCCCATTTCAAGTAGGTTTTATTACCTCCCAGCTATCTGGCTCCAAGAATTCCTTTTTTTCTGTAGCTTTCAAAAACTCGTCTAGAGTCACTAATCGGTCTTTGTTAGCATCAACCTGATTAAAAAAAAAAATGTATATGTAAAATAAAATAACTCTCATATTACTAGAAATTGTCTTCTAGACAATTGCTATATATTTGTGTGGATGGTACTACACAAGTATACAGCAATTAAGTCTAGCCTAACATCCACAGAAACGGGGGTGGAGGGTTGGAAGGAAGAAAGAACACTCAACATTATAGTAGAATCAGAAAATAGATACTGTTATCTTCTGGATTATTCAGATTTGAAAATACAGTGAGATATCTATACTCCTGATACTCAAAGATCATCACGCTTGAGTCTGCTGATCCGACTGGTTAGGCTATTATGGTCTTCCTCCCTCACCACACCATGTGGAATCCCAAGAAAAATAACCTTTCCAGAAAGAGGACTGTGTTAGCCAAGAGTAAAGGAGTTTACATTAAAATGCTCTCAACATTTTTTCTTAAAAACAACTAATAAATCAAAATTAAAATTGACAACCACTCCCAATCCTCTTCAGTGGCTCTTACAGCCATTCAGTTGCAAAAGTGAACTCCATAATGGCCAAAGACATTCATTTGACACTTGGGATGCCAGCAGTCAACAGAAATCCCAATTCATCGCCAATAGCTCAAATATCAGGAGAAAATCACTGACGCAAAACAGTGGGTGTTAGTTACTAGCCTCTGATGTCTATGACCAAAGTTCTCAGCTTAACAATGTCAACAAGAACGAAATACGTTGTTATAAACCATTACTGTATTAGATTTTTTGGATTTTCTTAATAAAAACACAGCCTTTTAAAATATCAAATCTTGGACTACATTATCTTTTACTTCTAAAAGACATGCAACAGCATCTTAATCTCTTAAATAAAAACCTTTTAAATTTTAAAATATTTTAAAGTAGTTACAAAATAATTTTATCTACACTAAGGGAGTCTACCGAATATTCTGGATCAAAAAATACAAAATTCAATTAAATAACTACTTTGTGTATTTATTTTCCACTTTATGGTAACATTTATTGCAAGAACTTGAATAATCCATTGAAATAACATATAATCTTAAAATTTTAAAACATACCTCATTCATTACATGTTCCCTCATTCTAAGCCGTTCTTCCTCCATTTCTACCATATCATCCTCCTCATTTTTGGGGTCATATACTTTCTCCAACTAAAAAGAAAAGTTTAAAACGAACATAAAAGGAAGGAAAATAATAGAAGGAAAAAAGAGAGCAAAAATGCTGAACACTTAAATGAACTCATTTACCTCTTTAGTAAATAGGGCTTCTAATTCTTGTTCATCCAGGAAGCCATCATTATTGACATCTGAAGTTTAAAAAGTCACAAATGCAAAAATTGATTTTAATGCCTTCGAAAATCAATAAATAAATTACAACTCTTCACAACTGCCTTGCAGAAGTGATACTAACATGAAGCATCCATGTGCTACATAAAGATGTTTCCTCCTTTTTTATGAAGCCTCACATCAGTCCAACTGGTAACAATTTACTATTAATTTATAATTCATACTAGGTTTTTTTTTTAGAAAAATATATCTTAACCAGTTTTTTCAAAAATATAAAGTGAAACAATACGCTACAGGGAAAAAAGTAAATTTTAGTATTATAGCATAAAGTGTGCTAGATATAACCTAGCTAGTCACAGAAATACCTTCAGTTTACAGAGAACCTTACAGTAAGTCGTAACGAGTCAGCAGTTAAAGCAGGTAAAAGACACAGCTACTGACTTAAAGTATTTTATGCTGCAGGTCAGCAATAAAGACTATTCTATTACCCTAGAGAAAAATTCTAAACATTTAGTGTCAATAGGACTCAATAGCAGACCTTGACAAAAACCAGTTAAGAATAAAGCAACTATAATCTTTCAAACAGCAGACATAAATATTAATATTTGTATCAAATCTGTTACCATGTAATTTGAAAAATGTCTTGGGGTCAAAGTCATTAGGATCCAATCCATCAGTCTCTTCCCATACCTCTTTTAGTTGATCTTTGCTTCCCTGTGAATCAATTTTTAAAAAATGCTCAAAACAAAATATAATCTATGTATATAGACTGAAAATAAAACACAAATTTGAGAAACTATGCAGAATTAAGATTCTAAAGTACTAATAACTTATGATAAAATTCTGATACTCAAAGAAGTATCTCCATCTAATTATGGTTTCTTAAAGTCATAATTCTTACCGGATGATTAACTTTGGGATGATTTTCATGCTTTTTCCTCATTTCTTCAAATTTAGATTCTTCTTCTTTTCTCTTTTCTTCATTCAGTGTTTTTAAATATTCTCTTCTTTCATGTTCCTTCATCATTTCATATTTTTTAAATTCTTCATGTCGAGTCTTATCATAGTGTTCCAGGTCACTTGTGGCCTATAATGTAATATTTAAACTAAATAACAAGGAGTATTTGAAAATATAAATAAGGGCTTTCTTGCATACAGCATATTCTAATAGAAGGTAGTATAAAAGGTCCAGAAAACACTGGACTCCTCTTTTAAATTCTGCCATTTTATTTTAGTCATTATTATTATTACCAGAATGTAGGCATTAAAAGAAACTCATAGTTCAAAGCAAGCCTCAACTTTAGAAAGTTCTTCATAAGTAAGTAATATATAAATTGATTTTAAAAAGAAGGAAGGGACTGTATCATATCTATACAGTATAGAAAACTAGAATTGTTTCTAACTACTTAACTAAACTCATACCCAGGCTACAACATGCATTTTGGTAACTCCATACAGTACAACATGAGAGGCCTACAAACTCTTATCTAAAATCCCAGAGCCCAGATATGTTTCAGAATTTTCTAGTTTTCAGAAAAAGAATATGGCATTTATGCCATATTGTGTAATATCCTTGCAGAGTCTATAATCAAACAGATTAGTACTTCCTCAGCAAAGTCTATGAATATTCACATTATGTAGGCTAAATAAAAACTATAAATAGCCTTACTATAACTGAAGCCAGATTTCAGCTTTTATAGTGCTTTGGATTTTGGAATTGTGGGCAAGGGGTTACAGACCATTATGGCCATATTATTATCTGTAGTAATAAATGTTAAGGTATCTCCCTTTAAAAATATTCTTGAGAGTATCTAAATGTTATATTACCACTTCATTGAATTTACTTATCAAATGACAAAACCTCAAAGGCACAACAATGACAACATTGTTTGGAATTATTCTCACCGCTTTGATGAGCATATCTAAATCTGTAGATTCAAACTTGTCAGGATTCAGGTGGTTTAGGTGATCAAATTGTTTTAGAAGAGCATGGTGGTCTATGCCTGTATCTGAAAGAAAATGAGAAAACTGTAAATGATAAAGTACTAAAAGCTAGAAACATTAATATAAATGATATATAAGCATAAGTATTCATATTTATTCCTATAGGATTTTATAAGAATATTCAAAATTTTAGATTAAGCATTCATATTTTCTTTTAGAATATTGTACATATTGTTATTCTAGGCAATAGTGATGTCCTTGAATCCAGAAAGGAATACAACATAATATGTACACTTTAATATTATTTCTAGAGGGGCGCCTGGGTGGCTCAGTCGTTAAGCGTCTGCCTTCGGCTCAGGTCATGATCCCAGGGTCCTGGGATCGAGCCCCGCATCGGGCTCCCTGCTCTGCGGGAAGCCTACTTCTCCCTCTCCCACTCCCCCAGCTTGTGTTCCCTCCCTCGCTGTGTCTCTCTCTGTCAAATAAATAAATAAAATCTTTAAAAAAATATATTATTTCTAGAAAGGCTAGTTGACTATCAGTATAATTAATAGTAAAAACTTTTTTATTATTGTAAAACTACCATATTTCCTGCTTTTAATTAGATAAACTCTAATATACTGCCCTCATCAGAGATCTAAGTAGAGGGGCGCCTGAGTGGCTCAGTCAGTTAAGCTACCGACTCTTGGTTTAGGCTCAGGTCATGATTTCCTGGGTGGTGGTATTGAGCCCCACATTGAGCAGCATGTCGGGGCTCTGGACTCAGTGAGGAGTATGCTTGAGATTCTCTCCTTCTGCCCCTCCCCCAACTCATGCTCTCACGCTCTCTCTTTCTCTCAAATAAATCTTAAAAAAAAAAAAAAAAAAGGACCTAAGTGGAATTTCTCTTTTTTTAGTATTTTATTTTTAAGCAATCTCTACACCCAAAGTGGGGCTCAAACTCACAATCCTGAGATCAAGAGTTGCATGCTTTTCCAACTGAGCAACTCAGGTGCCCCCTAAATAGAATTTCTAAAAAGAATTGCTTTAAAATTTATATGAAGGAATTTTTTGTATGCTGCTCCAATGAATCCTTTATGGAACAATAAAAATATAATTTAGGTAAATTCATTTGGATTAGGACTTATTTTTAAAGACATATCAATTATCTTTCTTTGTGAACATATTTTTTAAAACAAGCTACAGTTTGGGGCACCTGGCTGGCCCACTTGGTTAAGCATCTGACTTTTTTTTTTTTTTTTTAAGATTTTATTCATTTATTTAAGAGAGAGAGAGCAGGAACAGGGGGAGGGACAGAGAGACAAGGAGAAGCAGACTCCTCACTGAACAGATAACCCAACAACATGAGGCTCAGTCCCGAGCCAAAGGCAGCCATTTAACCTACTGAGCTACCCCAGGGGCCCCTAGTGTCTGACTCTTGATCTCAGCTCAGGTCTTGATCTCAGGGTTGTGAGTTCAAACCCCATTTTTAGGGGCGCCTGGGTGGCTCTGTCGTTAAGCATCTGCCTTCGGCTCAGGTCATGATCCCAGGGTCCTGGGATCGAGCCCCGCATCAGGCTCCCCGCTCAGCGGGAAGCCTGCTTCTCCCTCTCCCACTCCCCCTACTTGTGTTCCCCCTCTCACTGTGTCTCTCTCTGTCAAAGAAATAAAATCTTTAAAAAAAAAAATGGGGGAGCTCCACGCTGGGCATGGAGTCTACTTAAAAAACAAACAAACAAAACACAAACAAAAAACAAGCTACAGTGTATTGTAGTTGAATAGGTAAAGTGAGTCTGGACTATTTCAGTTGGATTATAGAATTGAGCAAAATAGGTACATGTGTTGATTTGTTAAAAGTCAGAATTCTCACTTAGGAAAGAGGAATGTACAAATATGGAATCACGGAAGGCAAGAAAAAAATCTCTGACTTGGCATCAGGGAAATACAAATCAAAACCACAATGAGATACCACCTCACACCAGTCAGAATGACTAAAATTAACAAATCAGGAAACGACAGATGTTGGTGAGGATGCGGAGAAAGGGGAACCCTCCTACACTGTTGGTGGGAATTCAAGCTGATGCAACCACTCTGGAAAACAGTTCCTCAAAAAGTTGAAAATAGAGCTACCCTATGACCCAGCAATTGCACTACTGGGTATTTACCCCAAAGATACAAATGTAGGGATCTGAAGGGGCACCTGCACCCTATGTTTATAGCAGCAATGTCCACAATAGCCAAACTATGGAAAGAGCCCAGGAAGTCTATCGACGGATGAATGGATAAAGAAGATGTGGTTCATGTACACAATGGAATACTACTCAGCCATCAAAATGAAATCTTGCGACTTGCAACAATGTGGATGGAACTAGAGGGTATTATGCTAAGCAAAATAAGTCCAATCAGAGAAAGACAATTATCATATGATCTCACTCATATGTGGAATTTAAGAAACAAAACAGAGGATCATACGGACAAGAGGAAAAAATAAAACAAGATGAAATCAGAGAGGGAGACAAACCATAAGAGACTCTTAATCATAGGAAACAAACTGAAGATTACTGGAGGGGAGAGGGGTGGGTGGATGGGTAACTGGGTGATAGACATTAAGAAGGGCACGTGATGTGATGAGCACTGGGTATAATACTGATGAATCATTGACCTCTACCTCTGAAACTAATAATACATTGTATGTTAATTAATTGAATTTAAATTTAAAAAAAAGAAAGAAATCTCTGGAAATAGATGACAGGGCACGTTCTGCATGGAGCACTGGGTGTTATACGCAAACAATGAATCATGGAACAGTACATCAAAAACTAATGACATAATGTGTGGTGATTAACATAACATAATAATAAAAAAAAAACTGAAAAAAAAAGATGTTATGTCTTCTCATTTTTTTTCAAGTCTACTTTTGCATCCTTCAGGAGTATTTTAAAGCTTTTTGTCTGTAAGTCCAATTTCTTAATAGGTTTAATCTGAGTATTTTATCTTTGTTGGTATTTGTAAATGGAGTCTTTTCTTCCATTATATCTTGTAATTGGCTGTTGCATATGAAAAATACTGATTTCTGGATATTAAGTTTACCTTGCTGAATTTTCCTGTTCTTTGTTATTTTTTTAGTCAATTATTTTGAGTTTTCCAAGTATATAATCCTATCACCTGCAAACAGAAATGGTTTTATCAACTCCTTTTCAATTACCTTATCTCCAGTTTTTTTTTCATTTATGTAATTGTTTTGGTTAGTACCTCCAATGCTATGCTAATTAGTAGTGGTGATTGTGGACATCATTGTCTTGTTCCTGATTTTAATTAGAATACACACTTGTATTTCCCCACTAAGTATGATGTGGCTGAGTTAGACATACCTGATCATGTTACAGAAGTATCTATTGATTACTATTTTATTACTTTTTTAAAATTAAGAAGAGGTGTTAAATTTTGTCAATTGCTCCTTTTCTGTAGATATAGAGATGGTCGTATGATATAGGAGATTACTTTCTTGTCTGTGGATATCTTCACATTTCAAAAATTCTACTTCATAGCTATTTAATATTCTCACAGTCTAAAATTAAAAGAATATAGGAGCATGAATAGGCAGAGCACAGAGGATTTTTAGGGCAGTGAAACTATTCTGCATGATATTTAATGGTAAATACATATCATTATAGATTTGTCCAAATCCTAGACTGTAAAACACCAAAGTGAACTCTTATGTAAACCATGGACTTTGGGTGATTATGATGTGTCAATGTAGGTTCATCAATTGTAACAAATTTACCATTCTGGTAGGTGATGCTAGTAATGAAGGAGGTTATGCATGTTTGGGGGGCTGGGGGTATATGGGAAATCTCTGCACCTTCCCTTCAATTTTGCTATAAACCTTATACTGCTCTAAAAGAATCAAATCTTAATTTTATTCATTTATTTATTTGTTTATTTTTTAATTTATTTTAGAGAGAGTGTGTGAATGGGGGAGCGGGGCTAGGGGTGGAGGGAGGGGTACAAGGAGAGGGAGAGACAATCTTAAGCAGACTCTGCACTGAGCTTGGAGCCCCAGACAAGGCAGGGCTCTATCTCACAACCCCAAGATCACAATTTGAGTCAAAACCAAGAGTTGGACACATAACCAAATGTGCTACTCACACACGCCAAATCTTAATTTTAAAAGATAGAAGTTTCAAAGATTTATTCTAATTTATCCTTTGTCCTTTGACTTCTTGATTTCTTTTGTCACACCAAAATTTTTTCTATTACTATTCATGTGATTTATAGTATTAGATTTCTTAATATTAAGTCAATCTTGCATTCCTAAAATAAATCCACTTGCTATTATATGGTATACTTTTGACATAAAATAATTTTGGTTTTGGCATCAATACATATTAAGAGTATGAAAGCTTTCCTTTTTTTATGCTCTGGAATAGTTTAAATAGCACTGACAATCTGTTCTTTAAAAAAAAAAAAAAAAAAGGATGTATTTATTTTTACTTGAGAAGGAGAGAGGGCAGACTCCCCACTGAGTGTGGAGCCCAACACGGGGCTCGATCTCACGACCCGGAGATCATGACCTGAGCTGAAACCAAGAGTTGGACACTTAACCAACTGAGCCACCCAGGTGCCCTGACAATCTGTTCTTTAATAGTTTAATAGAATTCCTTTTGACACTCTCTGGGCATAGTATGGTTTTTTTAGAGCAAGCTCTCTGACGATTTTCTATTTCATCTATGGAAATTGTTATAATTAGATTTTCTCTCTTTTGGTTTGCTTTGATGTTATTCTTCCTCCTTTATTTTTTTTTTAAAGATTTTATTTATTTATTTGACAGAGAGAGACACAGAGAGAGAAGGAACACAAGCAGCAGGGGTGGGAGAGGGAGAAGCAGGCTTCCTGCCAAGCAGGGAGCCCAATGCGGGGCTTGATCCCAGGACCCTGGGATCATGACCTGAGCCCAAGGCAGACGCTTAAAGACTGAGCCACCCAGGTGCCCCATTCTTCCTCCTTTAAATCAGTGGCTTAATTCATTACTTTTTATTGATATAATAATTTAAGGCTAATCATTTTGATTTTTGAATGATGTGATTACCTATTTTAAAAATTAAGAGAACGCTGGGGTGCCTGGGTGGCTCAGTTGGTTAGGCGACTGCCTTCGGCTCAGGTCATGATCCTGGAGTCTCTGGATCGAGTCCTGCATCGGGCTCCCTGCTCGGCGGAGAGTCTGCTTCTCCTTCTGACCCTCCCCCCTCTCATGTACTCTGTCTCTCATTCTCACTCTCGCAAATAAATAAATAAAATCTTTAAAAAAAAAAAAAAATTAAGAGAACGCAAATCAATGCTAACATTAAATTTTGACTAGAAGAACATGGTATGTGCCAATATAAGCTGACCTCAACAACCAAATACTGAAACTTTCCTACTTTTTTTTAGCACTTACCTTGAAGGGAATCCAATTTAGCTTTAATTAGCATTCTTAACCTTGCCACTTCTTGCCTTTTCAGTTCATCAAGTTTTGTCCTCACGTGGTGACTTACTAAATCCAGTTCTTTGCTTAGCTTCCCACTCTGTTAAAATTAACAAGTTAGGTTTATTTATTACATTCCATCTTTAGACCAGACACAATATATTAAAATTAGGGTTATGATGAAGTAGTGATAAATACTTTTGACTAATTTAGATAAATTTGGCATTACAAAAAGCATTTCTTTCAGAAGATACTCAGTTTCTAACTCTAAAGTCAAGATGTGTAAAAACCATATATTATGGAAAGAGTCCAAATGTCCATCAAGTGATCAATGGATGAAGAAGATACGTATAGATATACAATGGCATATCAGCCAGCCATAAAAAAGAATGAACTCTTGCCATTTGCAATGACCTGGATGGAGCTAGAGAGTATTATACTGAGCGAAATTAGTCAGAGAAAGACAAATACCACAAGATTTCACTCATATGTGGAATTTAAGAAACAAAACAGATAAATATGGGGCGGGGGCGGGAGGGAAGAGAGGCAAACCAAAAACACTCTTAACTATAGAAAACACACTGAGGGTTACTGGAGGGGAGGTGGGCAGGGGGGATGAGTTAAATAGGTGATGGGTATTAAGGAGGGCACTTGTGATGAGCACTGGGTGTTGTATGTAAGTGATGAATCACAAAATTCTACACCTGAAATTAATATTACACTGCATGTTAACTGGAATTTAATGAAAAATTTGGAGAAAGAAAATAAAAACCATATAATTGAAAGCATAATTAAAGCACAAAGAAGAAACTCAAACTAATGGCACAGCTGCTTTGAAAAACAATCTGGCAGTTCCTCAAAAATTTAAACACAGAATTACCATATGACCCAGCAATTCCATTCTTAGGTATATACCTAAAGAATTGAAACATACGTTCACATAAAAACTTGTACCTGAATTTTCACAGCAGCATTATTCATACCAGTATAAAAAGTAGAAATAGGGCACCTGGGTGGCTCAGTTGGTTAAGCGACCGCCTTCGGCTCAGGTCATGATCCTGGAGTCCCTGGATCGAGTCCCGCATCGGGCTCCCTGCTCGGCAGGGTGCCTGCTTCTGCCTCTGACCCTCCCCCCTCTCATGTGCTCTCTCTCTCTCATTCTCTCTGTCTCAAATAAATAAATAAAATCTTAAAAAAAAAAAAAAGTAGAAATAACCAAATGTCCATCAACTGATGAGCTGATAACAAAATATGGAATATCCATAAAGTGGGATATTGTTCAGTCATAAAAAGAAATGAATGTATTAATATAAGCTACAATACAATGAACCTTGAAAAACATTATGCTCAAAGAAACCAGACACAAAAGGCCACATATTGTATAATTCCATTTATGTAGAATGTCCAAAATAGGCAAATCCATAGAGATAGAAAGTAGATCAATGATTGCCAAGGGATAAGAAGGGGTGGGGGAGTGATGGCTTAATGGGTACAGGGTTTCTTTTGGGGGGAAATGATATTGTTTAAAAGTAGATAGTGATTGGGGCGCCTGGGTGGCTCAGTCGGTTGAGTGACTGCCTTCGGCTCAGGTCATGATCCTGGAGTCCCGGGATCGAGTCCCGCATCGGGCTCCCTGCTCAGTGGGGAGTCTGCTTCTCCCTCTGACCCTCCCCCTTCTCATGTGCTCTCTCTCATTCTCCCTCTCTCAAATAAATAAATAAAATCTTTAAAAAAAAAAAAAGTAGATAGTGATAAATAAAATCTTTAAAAAAAAAGGGGGGGGGCACCTGGGTGGCTCAGTCAGTTAAGTGACTGCCTTCGGCTTGGGTCATGATCTCAGGGTCCTGGGATCGAGCCCCGCATCGGGCTCCCCACTCCGCGGGAAGCCTGCTTCTCCCTCTCCCACTCCCCCTGCTTGTGTTCCCTTTCTTGCTGTCTCTCTCTCTGTCACATAAATAAATAAAATCTTTACAAAAGAAAAAAAGTAGATAGTGATGATGGTCACATGTAGATATACTACTGAATTATATGCTTTAAAGGGGCAAGTTTTAAGGTATGTGAATTACATTTCAATAAAGTAATTTTTAAAAATAACTTGGCCACCTTAAGCTTTAGTAGTTACATATATAAATAACTTTTCAAAATTCATCTTTTTTAGGTTGTCTCCTTTGATTACTTTTCTCATAGATGAGTACTTAGATAAATGTTCCAAAATTTAAGAAACAAAATAGCTAGTAGCTTACTTTCTCTTATTTATAAATGCATTTGCAATCACAAACTGCAAATCTAACTAGCAATCAGGCAGACAGACCTTTTAGGACTGAGTCAATGGGGCTCACTGAGGAAGGTAAAGAAAAGAAACCCCCTACAAGGGAGACGAAGAAAGAATGTTCAGAGGTAAGAAGGCGAACTAGAAGAATTTGCTATTATAGAAGCAAAAAGAGTGATATACTCAAGGAGAGAGTAGTCATCATTATTACATACAACAATGGTTCTCAAAGTGTGGTCCCCAAGTAGAAGCATTAGCACCAACTGGGAACTTTAGAAATGCAAGTTCTGACTTACTGAATCACAAAGTCTATAGGTGGGGCACAGGAATCTGTGTTTCAACAAGCCCTAAAATCTGAGAACCACTAAGATAATAAAAAGGAGTCCAGTAAGAACAGGAATAAATAGTATTCACTGGATTTGGCAATTAAGAAGTCACTGACATCCTTCATGAAAGTATATTCAGTAGCGTGATGTGGGCAAAGCCATAATCTTTCCAGTCAGCAATATTTGGGAAGTGAAGAAATGCAGTATGATTCCCCTTTCAAAACACTTGGCTGAGGGGCACCTGGGTGGCTCAGTCTGTTAAGCAGCTGCCTTCAGACGCTTCTGCTCAGGTTATGATCCCAGGGACCTGGGATGGAACCCCACATCAGGCTCCCTGCTCAGCTGGGAGCCTGCTTCTCCCCTCCCTCTCCCTCTGCCTGCCGCTCCCCCTGCTTGTGCTCTCTCCCTCTCTCTCTGTCAAAATAAATAAATAAAATCTTTAAAAAAAAAAAAAAAACCTGATCAAAATATTTGGCTGAAAAGGAAAGGACAAATTTTAAATTTTTTCTCCCAGTTTTATTAAGCTAAGAGTCTTTGTGGAGCTATTTATAATGATTCCATTGGCTTGAGTTGTAGTGTCTATTTTTTTTTTGTTTTTTAAGATTTTATTCACTCATTTGACAGAGAGAGACACAGCGAGAGAGGGAACACAAGCAGGGGGAATGGGAGAGGGAGAAGCAGGCTTCCCGTGGAGCAGGGAGCCCGATGCAGGGCTCGATCCCAGGACCCTGGGATCATGACCTGAGCCCAAGGCAGACGCTTAATGACTGAGCCACCCAGGCACCCCTTTAGTGTCTATTTTAATTCTTGTATCTTTTTCATTGAATAACTGTTTAACTTACTACATTTTGTCTCCCCCTGCCCCAAAAGGGAATAGGATTGACTGTGAAAGGCAGAGTTATAAAAGTATTCCCATACCAAACCAGGATTATCTCTCTATTGTACTTCCTATTATCTACCTTTTCTGTTACCCACAAATAATGTTCTTTTTTTAAAAAAAGATTTATTTATTCCAGAGAAAGAGAGAGAGAGAACAGGGAAGGGGCAGAGAGAGAGGGAGAGAGAGAATCTCAAGCAGACTCCACACTGACCGTGGAGCCCAACGCATGGCTCAATTTCATGACCCTGAGATCTTGACCTGAGCCAAAACCAAGAGTTGGACATTTAACCCACTGAGCCACCTAGGCATCTTGCCACAAATAATGTTCTTAATCCTAACTTAAGTAGATAAGAGACACTGAAAGTTCTACATTAAATATTATTCTGCCCAGGAAATTAGATCAAATTAGTTCCTCAAAGGAAACATAAGATTACTCTCAAGATAATTCAGGGAAATTATTGGCATGATGCTCTTACCTCTATCAGGAAAAATGACTTCCCACCTTTCCCCACTGCTGAACTATGTGTCTCCACTAGGCATCTCCAAAATATATTATATCACCATTATATATTCATTCTAATAAACTTTTTCTAGATATTATTTATTCAGAATAAATAAGAGCTTGGAAAGAGTCTCATCTTTGTATTCCCAGTACTTAACTCAGTGTCTGGGATGTTCTAACATTTGTTAAATAATTATTTAATTACATTTACCTTTATTTCCTCTATGTCTGCTTTCTGGAGCTTTTCTCTGAAGTGATTATCTGTTTCCAGCACATCAATCACTTGCTTAAGATATTCGTCATAATAAAGTCCAGTATCCTTCAAATTAAGAAATAAACAATAATGTTTCTGAAAGTTTTTCTTCCCTGCATCTAAAGATCTCAATCGTAAAAAAAAATTTTTTTAATTAAAAAAAAAATAGACTAGCGAAACGGCATTGAGACGTATCTACTTTGATAGCTGGGACAAAGTTAAAAAGCTGTATTTCTCAAATGAAGAATTTTATGTCAGAACCAATATAATGTTTTATTGTTACATAAAGGTACATATTCTATATGGCTTAGACAATGAGGACTAACCAATAATATTAGTTGGTTGATTTTGCTCCACTGTCACCTGTCTCTCCTCATTGCTGTATCTCCTTTGAATATAATACAATGTTTTCTTGGCTAGTGAGCTCTCCACTGGAAATGTATTACGATTAATTCTCCTGTGCATTATTTAATATATGAACTACATTAAATAAACACTGTCTAATATTAAACATATGTTTATCCAATATTCTTTTACTGCTATTTCCGAAATAGTTCCTAAATGTACAATTTTATAAATAATAAATATTAGCAACATTTGTTTAAAATTCTTCCTACAAGGTTATCTTTATCATTTCACTTACTGGTGGTTCTATCTTCGCGCTGTCCACAGGTTGAATATTTTTTACTTTTGTCTTGTCTATGTCTATAGGCACAGCTTCAAGAGCAGTAAGTAGACAGGAAACCAAGAGAAAACAATATTGTAGTAAGATGGTCCTCCACCTCATCTGAAATAAAGGTATAATTATGGTAAGGTCTTGAAAAGATGTCTTCAAACTATATATACATGCATTCCCAATGCCATGTTAATAATATATCCAATTTCAAGAAATTTAATACAACAAAATAGTTCTAAAAAGAGGTTTAAAATAGACTATAGCTTATCAAAATAATGCTTAAAACAGATGACTAAAGAAAATAAGGGGAGAAATGCTTTTCAACTAAAATTAAAAAGAAAAGGAAACAAATTTTAAAATTTAAACAGCTTATAGTGTAAGAAAACATTTAGTTAATTATAAAAGCTTCAAATAAAAATGATAATAAGGGTCTCAGAATCTTAAAAAATTAATAGCCCAAATTTTAGAAAAGGAGAAGGAAAAACTATATTTTTTCAATTAAAATACTAGGAAGGCAAAATTTTTTCTAGATATATTTAATTTAGCTTCAACCTAATTTTGAAAGTAAGTTGCTCCATAAATATATGTTGATTAAAAGAGACAACTAGATAAAATATTCTCTTAGCCTTACAAACATCATTTTATCATAGCCAGTAGTCATTTGCTAAAATTCTTTTTGGTCAATAATTTTTCAAATAAATAGGTCAATAAAATATCAAGCTTGAAACAAGAGAGGAGCAAGTATTGTTATTTCCACAATATTATTCAGATTTTGTTTATTCCACTCCATATGGATCTTTAGTAGCTCTGGAGGACCTACTACAAGAATTAGAATGAGTAAAAATCTCATATTTAATTGATTTTATACATACAGACTCATGTTAGGGTCCAAGTCAAGAATATTGGTCTGACCAGCAGTGTGGAATATGCATTATTTAACTCAGAATCTCCCAAACGTAGCTGAGTATGGACTTTTCTTAAGTCACGTTTTTATTTTTATTTTTATTTTTTTATTTTTTTTTAAAGATTTTATTTATTTATTTGACAGACACAGCGAGAGAGGGAACACAAGCAGGGTGAGGGGCAGAGGGAGAAGCAGGCTTCCCGCTGAGCAGGGAGCCCGATGCGGGGCTCGATCCCAGGACCCTGGGATCATGACCTGAGCTGAAGGCAGTCGCTTAACCGACTGAGCCACCCAGGCGCCCCTTAAGTCACGTTTTTATCCATAGAACACAATTTGGAAAAGCGTATACTGCCTCATTTTTGTCACAAACCCAGGTAGTAGATAGGGCAGTGACTTGTTTTACAAATGAAAAAAATTTTAATTAAAGCAATTTACTCACAGAGCATTGTCTTGCATTACAAAATCACTAGAACTCACATTTTAGTGCTATTTCTAATATATCAAATTTTTTAGCATCTCTATTGAGATATAACTCACATGCCATAAAATTCACCCAGTTAAGGTACAGGGTTTGTCTATTCCGTAAAGATGCTACTCAAGGTTTAGTTCTCAAACCTGAAGGATCAAATCACCTGGGAGCTTGATTCTCAGGCTGCACCCAAGACCTCTGAAATCAGAATCTCTGGGGTGACGTCCAGAATCTGTTTTAAGAAACTTTCCAGGTAAACACACTATGGGTTGCTAGAGGGGAGGGGGGTGGAGGGATGGGGTAACTGGGTGCTGGACATTAAGGAGGGCATGTGATGTAATGAGCACTGGGTGTTATATAAGACTGATGAATCACTGACCTCTACCTCTGAAACCAGTAATACATGTTAATTAATTGAATTTAAATTTAAAAAATGGAAGGAAGGAAGGAAGGAAGGAAGGAAGAAAGGAAGGAAAGAAGAGAGAAAGCTTTCTAGGTAATTCCTACATACATATGCTCAAGCCCAAGATTCATCCTCCTCTAGGATACTTTAACATGATCACTGTGAGTAAATGTTTTTCAGGATGAAATGTTTGGGAGATGATGGCTCAATGAAGCTAAATAAAGTTTTCATCATTGCAAGACTTTCAGAACCTGTGATGGGTTACTATGCATTATGAATCTTTAATAGAAGGATGATTTGTTTCTCCACAGAAATTTTTCTCCTCTTCCCACAATTATTTTTTTATGACAACCGAAGTTTCTCATTCATGCTTCATGCCCATTACAGGTGTATCTTTTATTTTTGATCTTCGTTTTTTGAAAGATAATTTACATACCACAAAACTTACTCTCTGAAATTGTACAATTCAGAGGATTATATTCACAAGAGTGTGCAATTATCACCACCATCTAATTTTTTAGAACATTTTCATCACTCCAAAAAGAACCCGTACCCATTAACAGTCCTCCCCATTCCCTCATTCTCACAACTAATCCACTTTCAGTCTGTATAGATTTGCCTATTGTGGACATTTCATATATATGGACTCATATAACATGTAGCCTTTTGTATCTGGCTTTTTTCATTTAGCACTGTATTTTCAAGGTCCAATCATGTTGTGACATGAATCAGTACTTCATTCTTTTGTATAGCTTTTGTATACATCACAATTTGTTTATCAATTCATCAGCTGATGGACATTTGGGTTGTTCCTACTTTTTTGGCTAGTTTGAATAATGCTACTATGAACATTTGTGTTCAAGTTATTGTGTTACCATGTTTTCAATTCTTTCAGTTACATACCAAGGAGTGGAATTGCTGGGTCAATTTGGTGACTCCATGTTTAAGTTTTTGAGGAACTGCCAAACTATTTTCCATAGCACCATTTTACATTCCCACCAGCAATATATGAGGCTTCCAATCTCTCCACATCCTCAGCAACATGTGTTATTGTCTTTTTTATTATAGCCAACCTACTAGGTGTGAAGTGGTGTCTCATTTTGATTTTGATTTGCATTCATTGGCTAATAATGTGAGGCATCTTTGCATGTATTTATTAGCTATATCTTTACCTTTTTAAAATAATTAAGTATCATTGAGTTAGTTGTTTTTTTTAAAAAACTCTAAATTGAAACTTTTGTTACCTTTGCAAATCCTGTGGGTCCCTGCAAACAGGCTGACCAAATGACCATTAAAAAGGATAATAGTTTCAAGTGCAATCATGGCCCAAAAGCCCAAATTATGACTTAACTGCTCAAGTCAACTTCGATGTTTTCTACACAATTTCTAAAGTTTGAGTCTCCATGGTTCCTAACATGGTACACATGTAGTTGGAAAATGAATAAGTGCTAACATTATTTGAATAGTCTTTATATAAATGTGCACGCAGAAAATCAGCTGAGTGATATACCTCTATAACTTCATTTTGCAGACCTCCTCAGGAACTGTGACTAGCCCTGGATATGGTCAACCCAGAGTTTAGAAGAATCTTTCACATAGACTCCTCCCCTCCACCCACAGTACCTCCACTATCCTATACTCTCCTTCTACCACATAACACACACACACACAGGGCAATTAATGAGCAGTTCTGTCTCCACAATTGGCAGCTGTCACATATTTTGAAATATGCTCTTTTTTTAAAAAAAAATAGTGTCCATCTTTACTCCAATATACAATAGAAGCCTGAGATTAGTAAAAGTAAATTATCGTTAAATTGAATCTTGGAAGTGGAATCCCTTTTGCAATTTGTCTCTTCTCACACTGTTCTGCTAGGTTTCCCATAAATGAGAAGGAAAGTCAAGAAAGGAATATGTTTGTACATATGAATGTGTGTATGTGTGTGCGCACACACACACATCTCAGCATCTCAAAATGACTAAGTAACAAAAATTGTCTCTGGGTATCTACTCTAAAGCTTTAACTGAATTTATGGTTCATTAACTTTTTTTTTTTTTAAGATTTTATTTATTTATTTGAGAGAGAGAGACACAGCGAGAGAGGGAACACAAGCAGGGGGAGTGGGAGAGGGAGAAGCAGGCTCCCCGCAGAGCAGGGAGCCCAATGCGGGACTCGATCCCAGGACCCTGGGATCATGACCTGAGCCGAAGGCAGTCGCTTAACCGACTGAGCCACCCAGGTGCCCTGGTTCATTAACTTTTAATTGGGACCTTTTTTAAAAAGGTAAAGATACAGCTAATAAATACATGCAAAGACTTATTATAAATAACAATAGAAACCATCAGTTGAATGTTTACTATGTACCAAGCAGTATGCTAATTTTTTTTATATTAAGTAATTAATTCTTACAATGACTCTGTGAAATAAATATTATTGCCATTTTAAAGTACAGGAAACTGAGAGGTGTCAGTTAAAAAAACTGATCTGGGGGGTGCCTGAGTGGCTCAGTCGTTAAGCATCTGCCTTTGGCTCAGGTCATGATCCCAGGGTCCTGGGATCGAGCCCCGCATCGGGCTCCCTGCTCGGCGGGAAGCCTGCTTCTCCCTCTCCCACTCCCCCTGCTTGGGTTCCTCTCTTGCTGTGTCTCTCTCTGTCAAATAAATAAATAAAATCTTTAAAAACAAAACAAAACAAAAAACCTGATATGGGTCACACAGGAGTAAGTCACATAGCCAAAAGTTTGGGCCAGGGAATGACTGACGCCCAAGCCTAGGACTGTTTTTAAGCAGTGGTTCTCAAAGTGTGATCCCTGGGCCAGTAGCAGCAACATCAGCTGGGAGTTAGTTAGAAATGCAAAATATCAAGGCTTCCTCCAGACTTCTAAATTGGAGACTCAGGGAGGGAGGGGCATAATCTGTTTTAACAAACCCTGTAGGTGATTGTAAAGCTTGCTAACATTTGGAAACAGACTGCCTCCCTTTGCTCTATTATTCATGAACCTCCTCTGCAAAGAGAGACAAAGAGAATGCTTATCTGAAGAGTAAATTTAGATCCTCAAGGAACAGAGAAATGGGTGTTACATCTAAGAAGAGTAAGGCAAAATTAAATTTAGGTCTATATTCTAATTCCAGCTTCATCACTCACTTGCTATGAGATCATAGGTCAGTCAATTAACTTTCCCTGCTTGTTTCCTTATTTTTAAAAATAACGGATTTTTTTTTTTAAGGGGAATTTAACTAGACCTCAATATTCTTTAAGCTCTTAAATTCTATTACCAGGTTTTTTTCTTTTTGTTATAAAGATCTTTTTCTGGGGCGCCTGGGTGGCTCAGTTGG